CAACTTTCAAAATCGTCATTTTGGGGAACCAACTTGCACCTGATTCCTATTTGGGGAACCAACTTGCAAAATGATTATAGAAAAATAACTAAAATTCGTTTTTTTTTTTCAAAAATTAAGTACCCGTTGTTCAATCAATGCCGTCTTGTCTGCTTTGGGCGAAACTCATACAATAAAATCTATTTTTCATTTCAAATCTTATTTTTTTTTAATTTAGATATCAAATTGAACATTTTTTTAAAATAAATCCAAATTACCACAATAAAAATTGTTTTTTACTGATGCAAAAAAAATCAATTTAATAGAAAAAAATTAATTGATGCAATAAAAAATAAATATTAAATATCACATTCAAAATTTTTATATCTAACCAATTGCATCAATTAATTTTTTTCTATTAAATTGATTTTTTTGCATTAGTAATAAATAATTTTTATTGTGGTAATTTGAATTTTTTTTTAAATGTTCAATTTGATATCTGAATTAAAAAAAACGAGATTTGAAATGAAAAATAGATTTTATTGCATTAATTTTTGGAAAAAAACGAATTTTAGTTATTTTTTCATAATTATTTTGCAAGTTGGTTCGCCAAAGTAGGAATCAGGTGTAAGTTGGTTCCCCAACATGACGATTTTGAAAGTTGGTTCCCCAAAATAAGAATTAGGCGAAAGTTAGTTCTATTTTGATGCAATTTTCCCTTTTTTAACTAGAACCTAAAAACTTGAAAATATCTTAAAAATCTCAAAACCTTCATGTATAATTTATAAAAATTTAATTTTTTATAAATAAAAAACGGGCCTATGTATAACCGATCCCCATCTCGGGACCGAATTTTTCGTAAAATCGTAACCGAGCCGGAACTGCCGGTCCATAACTGGTCTTTATCGGTCCTAGGCCAGACTCATTTTAGCCATCTCCAATTATGATGACAAAATCATACCGAACAGGCGCACAACATGAAACCAGTAACTGCAAACGATATTCAAAGTTTTCAAACATCTACAAGTTTATTCATATATCCTCAAGCTCAGCAACCACAAGGATTAGTCTCGCCAATAACTTTAATAATATAAAGAATGGAAGATTTACACACAAATCACAATATTTAACTTGGAGCTGGATACCCCGGTGGAGGATAGGCGGCAGGAGGAGGTCCTGGCGGATAACCACCATATGTCGGTTGCCCATATCCGACATTGGGAGGATATGGCTGATCAAACCTTGACATTTGCTGGGCGGGGGGAACCGCCATTGGTTGTGGTCCAAACTTTCCATCTCGTTTGTCCATTTCCACCTTGTGCTGTGTCTGCAGAATTAAGGCCAAAATCGACTAAACATACTTTATGAAAACAACGGATAAAGAACCAGGGTTAAAATATAGGGATAATCAGTTCACTTTTAACCATATGCATCAATAATAATCTTTAAGATAAGTTGAACAAAGCTATCTAACATTTAAATTCTATTAGAACTATAACATGCATGTATGTTGCGTTATTATACGGGTAAAATTGTGAACATATCGGAGTACCAAATTCTGATCGTCTGTTACAACAACTCGCGGGTAAAATCATCTTACTTCAAAAACATATGGGAGTCAATTGTGAAAGCAAGTCGGTCAGCAACTCTCGTGGACAGATTGGACCGGACAAGATGAATGAAAGTAAGGTAGCCGGGTGAGAAGATTGTGGAAGGTTTTATGGTTTTGATTTGACATGGGTAGTTTAGTAAATTACCTATTTTTGTCCAATTTCCATATTTTAGTTCCGCTTATTTTGGTGGGACAAAGAAATGGGTAAATGAATTTTTGTCCCGATCTAATGTTGTGCCAAATGTGGAATAAAAGTTTTTGTTATGCCTTCTCCCTCGTAACAAATGCAACCATTATGAATCAGCTTAAATAACAAAACTAGAATGCTCTTGTTCCCATCAAAAGTACCCAAACTGTATATATTTTGGCTACTTAGAACATATCCTAAGAGACATTCAAGAAATAAATTAAATTTCAAATAAGGAAGAAATTCCACATACCTGCATGCAGGCACAAACCCTACAAAGCAAATTACAGTGGATGTATTAGAAGAGGCCCATTTTGTTGATTTAGTAAAATCTATGAAGATGGCAAGCGAAGAAATAACTCACGTGCAGTAAACCATGTCGGCTAAGCAATTGAGTGCCTGAGATGCGTCACTAAGTTCTTCATTTCCAACAAGGCAAGCAACAATGGAGCAGATGCACGCGAGTTGTTGGAGGCAAAACATGAAACCCTTTAAAAAGATAAGCAGTCAAGTAAATATTTGAGTAAGTAATGATAAAAGTCAAAGACATTAATGAGATTCATCAAACATATTACAATGATACAGTTATCGCATTGTGTTGTTTGTATATTGAACTCATCTTGCAACAGAAAGCGAGTCGATGCTACTGAATTCCCAAAGCACAAGAAGACCTGAGAATTAGAAACACAAGAAGGTTAGTAGCAGGGGAAGTGTTCCATCAAGAAAAGAGACCTGGTCATGTTTGTGCAAAAGGGTTTGTAGCCAGCAATCCCCGAGCCGACCCCCATCCCCATCCCCATCCCCATCCCCATCCCCAAAGTATCATGTGATTGGCAAATCAGGTATATAACGGCCCACTAGGTAGCTGGATTAAGACGGGCTTAAGAGCCCAATGCCAACAAGGAGCCCAATACCCAACGAAAAATGTTGTTTGGTTTGGGTTGTTATATAACTTTCATATCAGAGTCACAAGTGATGATGCAAATTGCAAAGCCAAATCTATGATAATTACGTTTGCTCATCACCACAGGCAAAGATGTTCAAATGAATCCATGGGCCTTTTGGAATACGCATACCTCTGTGCAAAGACATAATTCAGGACATTTACTTTCACCACACTTTCCGCTGCAGGGCATATATCCAGCACAACATGTATACCTATAACAGGTATGGCAAAATGGTTAAGGCAAAATGGTTAACGCAAAATGACTGATCTTCGTAACAGTATAGTTTGGCTGAAGGAGAATCGTATTTACCTTGACATATCATTATAGAGAGCTCGCTTACGAAGCAAGTACGATACACATGGTCCACTGACATTTGTATAGAACAACAGAAAGGAAAATAGTCAGGAACCACAAAGAAAAAATAATGTCACTAATAAATATCTTACCCAACCCCAGAAAGAAGATAAGATGTAATAGAAAGTAAAACCACAAAAGGTCCATAATTCCAAGGATACCATATCGAACATATCTAATTCTCAAGATCATTCAGTCACGGTCGGTATTTAGTATTCACTACAAACGGTGATGAAAGATAGTAAATACAGTATTGTATGTAAGAGCTTCAATCCCCTGAACATTTAGAAGTTCCAGATAACAACCCGACCATAACGTCATCAGACCGGACCCAGGTCTTTTTTGTACCACTTTATTTTTTGAATCGGACCGGTAAAAGCGGCCTTTTTGTAAACCAGGTAAAGGTTGTTCCACTTTTTTATATACATTTTCTTTCTTTTTAAATCCATTAATTTCTTTTTCTACCTTTTCTATTTTTTATAAACGGATTGACAAGACTCTTTTTGGTCGATTCAAATCAGGAACGGAATTTTTTCTAACCGAACTGGTCCAGGACCAGGACAGGCATCAGTCAGGGTTCAGTCTCTCCATTGGTAGATCCGGATCAGCCCTGCTTTTTCGGATCTATTGACCATTCAAGAAGCCTGATTATGATCAGCTTTTAAAGAGAAGAATTCCCATATTCTAGTGAATTATATATATTATTATTGCTCATGTAAAATTGGCATAAAATTCAATAGATGGTACTAAATTAGAACTAGCAAACACCTGGTATCATCAAAATCAATTGAAATGATCAAACATCAATCAATAAATTTGATGAAAGAATATTAAATTGAAACTCATGATCCACTGCAAAAATCCAAACCCATAACTCGTCGAATAGATTATCTATTAAAACTGCAAAAATCCAAAACCATTGACATTTGACACAGTCTACGTACACAAAAATCGCCATACGAACTGCATAAGAAACATAAAAAGGAAACAGATAGAACAGCTAAATTATTTTTCAAGTGTGGTTCTTACCAGAATAACGAAACGCAGCAATCTACAAAAAGAAAAAAAAAACACCACACACACACACACAGAGAAAGCAAATTAAAGACAAGTTACGCAATTAACCATAAAAACTTGAATTCTTTGTATGAAATTGAGGATTAAAAAAGTTTCGTTACAAGGAGTATCGGCAGAGATGGTGCTCATAAGATCAGTGTGCCACACGTTCCTGTAGTTTTGTCGGAGTTGCATCTTGTCCAGATGCGCTTGCGAGGCCGCCATTGTCAACTTTTCAGAGCAAATCAAGCTTCGATAACCAGCAAATTTCAATGGAATTGGAGCCTAGGGTTTGATGAAAGAAATGTTGAAGGAACAGAGGCACCGCGTAAATTTCAAAGTACGTCAACCTGGGAAAAGTATACGAACAAAGAGGTCCAAATTTACGACTTTTGAAGCAAAAGTATTCTAACAATAAAACTAATTATTAAAATATTTTTAACTAAATTTTCTAAAGATAAATCATATAGACGGCTTAAGTTTGCATGAGACCCGTCTGTTTTCGTGAAACATGTAATATTACTTTTTTATATTTGAAACTTCACAGCTAAACACTATGAAAGTAAAAAAATAAAGCCAAGCCTTCACAGCAAAAATGTTGTGAAGGTTACATTCACAGCTTTTTGCTATGAAGTTTCAATTATAAAAACACGCGTCTCATAAAAACAACATGATCTCACATAATCCCAAATCTCATATAAATTCGTTAAAAATTTAGTTTTGTTTAGAGTTAATTAAAAAAGGATAATTCCTTTGGGAAAAGTTCAAAATTCTTTTATGTTAAAGAAGTGGAGGACCTATTAAAAATGTTTTCTGAAAGTGAATCCGTTTGATTTCGAAATTTCCTTCAATATTTTGAAACCAAATTTATAATAAAAATTAAGAATGTTCAAAAAATCGTTGAACCGTTTAAACCAGTCAAATCAAATTAAACCGAACCCTTTTTTGCGGAAGAATGGTGATTTGCCTCGATCCAGTGGGGAACCCGGCTCATCCGACCCAAATGGGGACGGGGATTTCCCGCTAAAACGGATCTCGGGGACGGAGATCCCCGGTAGACTCAAACCGGGATTGGGGCCAGGGCCGGGTATTGTACCCCCACCCCGCCCCGTACCCGGTATATAGTTTTATTAATATATTTTATATAATGTATGTATGTATACATATATATATATATATATGTATATGTAAATTATTTATTTTTTAAAATTAGGCCTTGACCGAAGATGAGGATCGGAGTTTGATCAGAAATAAAATCGGGGACAGGATGTTAATCCCCGTACCCGTCGGGGACCGAGACCGGGGGCTGTTACTAAAAACCGGGGTCGGGAATTACAAAATCCGCCTCATTTCCACCCCGTTGTCATGCCTATTTTGCAGTTTGAGCGGTCTGACGACCCAGTACAGTCTAGTCTACGGATTAAACGTTTTCTTAAACGGTTTGGACCAAACCGGTCACCAAAAATATCCATATTAATTATATTTTGTTTTATGTTATATACACAACTTTTATGCCACAACTAAAAAAAGTTCATCAAAGACATTATCTTTTTAGTTTTCATTTCTCAATTGACTGCATCATCTAAATTGGCAAAATTCTAAACATCATCAAAGATCAAATCCAAAATTCCAAATCTTTCTTTGAGTTGCTCAATGTTTGTCCAAAATTCAACTATTGTAAATAGATTTATTTAACTTTTTTTCAACTTGCTCAATGTGTTTTTAGTTACACATATAGACATATCTTTATAATGTGGTCTCCTACTTTTTAATAATGTTGTATCGATGGAAATTCCCTTTTGAATATAAACTTTATGTTTTTTTTTAAGCTTAAAAAAGCCTATAGTAATCCCAAACTACCTAAAACAATCAGAACTTACCGCTTTTTTGTGCTCCCGTTTCACCGATTTAGTCAGCTACTACCAAACCGCTAGGTTTGGAAAAGAAAAAAAAATTAAACCGCTATTGCAGTTTAGTTTTGTGGTTTGGAGTGTTAAACCTCCCAAATCAGATCACGAACAACCCCTAACAGAAATTAAGTATGGGTGGGATGGTTGGATTAGCATTCTAATGCAAGAGGTTACGGGTTTAAAATCTTACTTTAAATAAAAGTTTGTTTTTTTATCATTTAATTTTAGGCTTCAAGACCAGCCCAGAGCATTAACTCAAGCCCTACAACGCTATTTTGGAAACGTTAACAAAAAAAAGATAGTTAAAGAATCGAACTTACAACCTGACATACAATTATACACATTATTACCATACTGTCAAGACAATTATTTATTAATTTTTCTCCCATTTTGATTTCATTATTTTTCATGATTTGTTTTAATTCTCGACGCCAATTCATCTAAAAAATCATTGTTTTTTTATCTCATTTTTTAAAACACTATATATCTATTTTAAAGATCAATTCTTTGAAAAAAAAAATGTACTTTATGGGTCTATCTTAAAGGTGCACTTGTTCAGACAAATTCTTGTATCTGGTACTGATGATAAGAGCATTTCAATAATTCAACGTTTGTAATAGGTGGTGATGAAAAGCAAAACAAAATGCAAATTATAGCATTAGATTTGTAATAACCAAAGTCGAAGGATGAAAACCAACGAAATCAACTAATCATTGGGATACTTGTTGTAATTTACTTGGTATTTTTAAATAAACAGAAATAATATGACCTATAACTTGGTTTTAGACATGTAACATCCTTGACCTATTTGAACACACAATCTACCAAAATACCAATAGAAGTGCCATAAGCCATAATGCTTTGAGCAGAACCGTGATCAATTTATGATCCTCATTCTCAAAGTCTCATTGTGATGCAAAAATCTTGCTCATACACGTGATCCTTCATGGTCAGATAAGTGCATTTGTCCTTAAGTTATGCACTCCGAAACCTTCCAGACTATTACATCACCTTGAGTAGGGTACATTCATGATGTACTCCTCTTGTCCTCCATGTTACATCTTTCATTTGGATTTTCAGTTCTTAAGTTCAAGACTTCCTAATTGAATGATATTCCTCTTCAGCTACGGGTTCCGTAATCATCTGAGTACCAAAAACTATTATAAATGCTCTTTACCGTATGAGAAAAGTAAGATGAAATCTATTTATTAACTCTACCCTTTGAAAACGATAGGACTTGCATCTGAAATATATAAAGGAAATATAACATTTTTTATTTTATATTCTAAAGTTTTTATGAGTGAGCAAAGATTAGTATTTATAAATATGTTTCAAAACAAACATCATATTTTAGAACGGGCAAGAGTAAAAAATTTATTTTTGCGTAAGTGTATGTTGTATAATTCATTTAATAATACAAAACTATTATATTTAAACTTGAAACTTTTTTGAATTATAAAAACACTATCAAGCGACGTTTTTACAAACATGTTTAGATCCTTTCTAAAAACAAATTATATCAAAATGTAACAAATTTTGTATACCTTCCTAATTTGGGTAACGATAAATCAAAATTCACAATTGATGTAACGAAATATCTATAATTCCTATTTTGGGACAAATCTGTTGTAAGCCTCCAAGTCTGCATGTCATCAGTAAACACTGGCTTGGCATTACAAATGAACATTTTTTAGTATGTATCAACTGATGTGAATCTTATTAATATAAATTTAAACACAAATTGTTTTTGATAAAATATTTCAATTTCCCCCCTTCCTCGACGTTGGTCATATGAGTATCTTTACTTTTCCCCCACCCCCACCCCCACCGACGTTGGTCAATCCCCGTCTTTCTCTTCTTGTCAATTTGAGGACTCTTATATATTTTTGAACACATTCTCCATAGGACCCCCTTGCTTTCACCTCCTTCCATCGTGTTGAAGAAACCAAAGGATGTTGCACATATCCCTTCTTTGTCCCCCTTCCCTTCCAATCGCTCATTACAATTCCATTTATTTGGTATAAGTGTTAGATGTTGATGAAAGGGGTTAGGCAGCCTGATTGCTAAGGAAGAGCCCGATAAAAAAAGCAGACAGCATGTCCGAACTGAGAATGGGATGGGAAGCCACATATACCATATACAAAATAAATTGACAGCTAAACATCATTAAAATGATTATAAAAATATATAATACAAAAATATAAAATATAAAATTATAAGTAATAATTTGTTAGAAAAAAACCAAATAAACTTAATCACCAACTATCTCCTTTCTTTTAAAGAAAACACCTAAGAATAAGATCCATTAGTAATAGGAAGGAAGCTAGGAACTAGGAAGTAGGAACTCCAGATATGGGCTTGAAGAACCCATGAGATTGTATTGGGCCTTTTGGAGATTAAATGGGTTGATCCAGCCCATTATTCATTTTATATTTAGTCTAGTGGTATATAAGTCTTTGACTTTCTAACATGTCAGAGGTTTATACCTCATCAAATATGAAGAGAGTGTGTAAGTTTATTTGTTATATTTATCTATATAAATATTATATACTTTAAAAAGAAAAATGTCCTGGATTTAACTAAACTTGCATAATGAACTGATTTTATTTAAAAATAGCATTCTTACTTTATTTTGATTATATATTTTTAAATATACCATCAAATTAAGATATCTACATATATTCAAATCTATTTAATACATGTCACATTTGAATATTTATTATGATAAAAAAGTACAAATTAGATATTTGATTTGCTAATGAAAATATTTGTATAGAATAAGCTTATGCAATCTATTTAACACTATTTTGATTAAATATTGTTATTTTCATTTGATAAACGATAACTATCATTTTTTCCAATTTCATGGTATTAACTTACGTGTTATACAACCAATTAAATCATGTTGTAACATGAAAAACAATACAACAATTATATATGATATTTTTCTTGATTAGTCGCGTTCTTATAACTTTTATGTAGTTTGTAAAGGCAACATTTGTAATAAGAAAACTTTTTTGAAAGGCTAGTTTTGCCTTTTGTGTTGATACTTTCTTCACTTGTCTTTAAATATTCCATAGCATGTCCAATAAATTAAGCAAATAAATATTTCATTTGGGTAACGATAAATCAAAATTCACAATTAATGTAATGAAGTATCTATAATTCTGTCAAAGACCTTCCAGCCTAGTGGTAAAGGCTTGGGCATGGCATAGTCATGAACCCGAGTTCGAGCCCTGGGAGGGGATTGTTGGCGACATTTAAGTAGGGCCATGTTTAGCCTCCAAATTTGCCGGGGATTGGTCGGGCTTTGGCCCGGACACCCTTACAAAAAAAGTATCTATAATTCTTACTTTGGGACAAATCTATTGTAAGTCTTCAAGTCTGCATGTCATCAGTAAACACTGACTTGGTATTACAAATG